TTGTGTTAAACGTCGTGATTGTTCATCTTGTGGCATTTGATTGTATGCACTATTCATATCTGCGGTTGTAAAGTATTTTCCATTTATCTTTGTTAAGATAACTTGCATTGGTTCAATAGGCCAATTGCATTTTGATTCATCAATTAGTGAATTGCGATATCTAGCGTCTAAAACTATTTTTAGTGATTCGCCTTTTGCTAGAATGATAACAGGGTTGATAAAAGTGCTACCTTTTGGTTGTTCTTCCTTATTTACTGGTGAAATAATTTTGTATTGTTCTAAGATGTCAAATAATCTATTTACTTTGTCGTGTAAGTGAATTGGTAATTTACTGGCTCTTTGTTTTTTGAAAACTCCGTCGGGTTTTAACGGGAGATGTAGTGATGAACTGATTTTTCCAACGTCAAATTTTGATGTTGCCTAGACTGTTGAATATTTTAACAGTTGCTTTGCTAATTTATCAAATTCGATTAGTGTAATTTGTGAATGTTCAAAATTAAACATTGTTAAAACTTTTTGTTGTTCTTTTGTGTAATTTGTTATATTGAATGTTGGCTTAAAATATGGTGTTTTTGTGAAGTAATCTGTGTTTCTCTTTTCATTACTTATTATGTTATTTATGGATAATTCTTCGTCAAGAATTGTGGATTGGCAAATATCTAATAATTGGAGTATATTATTAACGCGGTAGGCTACTTCATGTATGGGTGAGATTGTAGCGTTTGTTTCACAATATCCTAAAAGTCCTAAGGGTAATATTACTTGATATGGTGTATTGTTATACACGTGTAACGAAATGATGTCGGAATTCGTGTTTTTCAAACATTTAATAGATGAGATCGTGATTTTGAAAAATTTGTGAATAGGTTTAAATTCAAAGTCTGACATAAAAAGTTGTTGTTTATTTTGACTTTTATCATACTGGTGAATTTGTTTTATTGAAAAATTATATATATTTCCTGATAATGGTTTCAGTTGTTTCCGTTGTTGATTAAAAATTGGATAAAATTTTGAGAAGAATGGTGGTTGTTTGTTTAATCTTTGAAAAAATGTTAGAGCTGTATTTTTTGTTTTTGTGTACTTATCTTTGATTAGTATTTTAGTATTTAAGATGTTGATTTCTGGTATATATTCAGATATAAATGGTATGCCAATGATATTGTGCTGAATATCAGTAATATGAAATGTTTGTTTGAACGGTCTGTTTAAATTTTGTTTTGCTCTATTGTTCTCGTGGGGAGGAGGAATAATTGAATTTTTCCATAATTTACTAACGTTGATCCTTGTGCTGTTGTTAGTTTACTGGAGGTTTCAAGAGGCGTTAATTTTGGATGTAATGTTTTGATTTCATTCCATGTGGAAATATTAATTATATTTGATTCTGCTCCTGAATCAATTAAAAAATCAATTTCAAGATCTGGTGGTTGAAATTCTTTGTTTCTTGGGCTTTCCAATAGAAATAGTGTTGTCCAAATTTTTTCTCTGGGTTGTTTTTTCTGTCTATTTTGATAAATATGATTTGTGTTTGAGCATTGTATTTCACTTTTTTTATCGGGTTTAATTACCGTGTTTATTTCGTTTACTTCTTGTGTAGTTTGTGTAGTATCGGTGGGTCCAATATAGTAATTGTGAAGGAGTTCCAATTGATTTTCATATATATGTGATGGAAAAAGTTGTTCATATATGACAAGTTCATAGTCGTTTTCGACTGTTGTCATATTTACTGAGATAGTGTTTTCTGTATCACTCTCTGTATCTGATGATTCACAATGTATATGATTTAGTTGTAGTTCGTTACTTCCTGTGTCATCAATACCTGGGGGGTTTGATGTTATTTCTTCATTTGTCTGTACTTGATTAATGTGTCTTTGTTGTTTTGGTGTACTACTTCTGTATCGATGTTTAAAATTATGATAATGGTTATTATTCCTGTGTGGTGACTGCGAATAATTTCTATATCGATTATTGTAACTTGAATTTCGATTCTGTGAATTGTTTCGTGATCTGTTTTGATAATTATCATTTGATCTGTGATAGTTTGATCTATTATATGAATTATTTCTTGATCGATTGTTCGGGTAATTCTGATTTCGATTGTTCGAATAACTTCTATGTCTATTATGTGAATAATTTCTAATTCTGTTGTATGATGAGTTTCGTGATTGATTATTGGATTAGTGTCTATTCCTTAGGTTTGATTGGGAACTGGATCCAGAAACAAATTGTGTTGTATTGGAATTTGATCTTGAATAGTTATTTTGGTTATTTTGACTATTTGATCGGTTATAATGATTTTGTGGAGAATTTCGTGTATTTCTTCGTTCTAGTGATCTTCCTCTATAATTTGAGTTATATGGTGATTGATTCCTTGTGTAATTGGTATTGTTCGGAAGTGGTTTTCCTGAACTGTTGTTACTAAATATATTTTTGTTCGGTAGGCTTTGATCTTTTTTCATGTATTGATAGAACGATTTATTTGGTTTTTTATGCTTTTGAGGTTTATTCTGATTGTCTTGTTGTTTTTGTCTACATTCGGAGATACTGTGTCCGTATCGTCGGCAATAATTACACCATTTTTTGAAGGATTGTTTGCCTTTAAAATTTGGATGTTTTTCATAGATATTCAGTATTTCAGTGATTTTTTCAATTAAGTCTGTATCTGATTCCTGTATGTTATTTAAATGTGTAGTGTTTGTTTCAATTCGATTAACATATTGTAGTTCTAGATTTTCTGTTTCTTCGAGTTTCATTGTGATCTCCGCTTGTTCTCGTTTATCTACTAGTTTTCGAAAATCTAAATCTGGTTCTCGAATTGAAGAAGGATGAGATGCTCTCTTTTTTATTGCTATTTTCCTTAATTGAGGTGCTAAGGTCATCATTAAAATTTCTGTCATTTTTGTGTTTTTATAGTCATGTGTTTTAAGTGAATATGCTTTTCGAACTATTGTTTCGATACGTACTGCTAATTGTTTGATAGTTTCATTTGGTAATCTGCGAATTTCATTACATAAAACTCTTTGGTGTTGTTTGTTTCTTTCAGAGTCAAACATTTTTGCAAATTCTTGTGTGAATCTTTTCCAATCTGATTTTATTTCTATAGGTAATACTGAAAACCATTTTTGAGCTGCGCCATCTAGAGTTGTTTGTATTAGTGCTGTGCGTCTATGTATCCAATTTTGAAGTAGTGGCGTATTAATTGCTTCAGGTCCTATATTTAAAATTAAATTTGCTGTTACTGCATTTAAATAATCTTCTACAGAATATTCAGGATCTGTTCCTGTGAATACCATCAGTGGTTTATTGGATGTTATTGCTGATCCACCCATGAGGTATGGATTCATTGTCATCTGTAGTGATTCTGCGGCATTTGGCATTTGCGAAAAATTTGAAAGTTGATTTTTTGATATTTCGTGTTGCTGAAGGTAATATGGAAGCGGCATTTCATTTTGCATTTGAGTTGGTTGATAGGAATGCATTGACTTTGGGTTTTGTGGTTGTATTGGTTGAAAGGATTGTGTGTTAAATGGGTTCTGTATATGCATTTGTTGTGGATTTTGTGCATCTGCTGGGTTTTGTGGGTAAATTTTTATATTTCGAGATGGTTGAGGTTGTTGTGGTCTTTGTGTGCGATAGTGTTTAGTGAATGGTGCAAAAATATCTGGTTGGTGATAGTCGTCTTCATCAGATGATAAATAGTTTGTATTATATGGTGTATATTTCTTATTTTTATTTTGTTGAAAGAATGGGTAATTTTCACTATAATCCTGTGTAGGTTGTAGATTATCTGGAAAATTTACTGAATTGGTCGATGTTTTCGGGGGATTCCAATAATTGGAACATACGTGATTTAAATTTTGTGAATTTTTTCGGGGAGGTTGGTTTGTTCTTAGTTTGTGAGCATAATTATAATTGTGTTCTGCAAAGGTGTTTCTTGTGGATGGTTTTCGTGTTTTTGACGGTATTGTCATTGGTCTATACGTTTGATAATCCATATGTGAATATTTTAGAGCAACCGAAAGTTTAACGGTTGATTGTAAGGTTACTTGTGCCAATGAAGTATTTGTATTTCTTGGTGTTGTCAAATTTGGGTGTTCTGGTGAAATATTTTGTTGTGTAGTTGTTGTTGTTTGTACGACTTCTTCATTTATGAAGTGTGATGGTGTTTGAATATCTTGTTGTGTAAGATTTTTATTTCCATTAAGATTTTCATTATGTATAACGGTCGAATTTAAACTGTTATTTCGCGTATCAGGTAAAAATGTATTATAGTTTAATGGTGTTGCATTAATGGTTAATGGTATTACTTTTACATAATCTCTGTGATAAGATATTGTACTTATTGCTTGACTTGAGATAGATTGTGGGATATTAATAAATGTAGGATGAGACCATTCAGGGTCCCAAACGTAGTCTGATTGTTCTGAAAGGGCAGTGTCGTCATTTGTATTTTGAGGTCTGAAATTTTTTCTTGCTTGTGAAATTAAATCTAAATTGTGGGTGAAATAATCTATTTTGAACCATGCTAAAATCTTTTGTAAATCATGTTTAGTGTGTTGTGAAACATCATCTTTAGTGAAATTTTCTTTAAATATTTGTAGAAATGTTGAAAATAGTGCGATTTCATTTCGTACTTTTGTATGTTTGGATGTTTCAGTTGGTGAGATACTTTGAAATTCTGTTTTTTCTAATATAGATATATAAGTATATATTATTGCAAAATTGTCGTTAGTGAATATGGAGTTTGCTCTTTGTGAATTATGATATTGTATGCTTTTGATATATTCTAGGAATACTTTTGAAAACTCTAATTCAATATCGTCTGTTTGAATTACATATTTGCGATGGGCTGTATTGAGTGTGCTGAATTCTATGGTATAGATTCCATTATGTTGTGTTAGATTACATATGTCTTTCAAATAATGTTCAATAATTTGTCTTTTGATTTTTACATTTGGGAATTTTGCTTTGCATGGACTGATTCCAGGTTCAAACAAATTTACGAGTAAGTTCTTGCAAAAATCATGTTGACCTCCATCATCGGGTGAATCTATAAGAAAGGGGTAAACTGCTTCGTCATCTGGACTATCGTCACTTTGAGTGTGGATCATTTTTGCGTTTGATGACTGTTAATATATAACTATCGATGTGTCTAATTGGTTGATTCCAATTATACAAGTGAACTGGTTTGTGTTTGTATTGCTTTTTTATTCTTCTTTTTCCTCTTTTTGATGAACTTGAAGTTGTTTCTGAGTCGGAAAATTCTAATTGATTGTGGATGGGAAAATTTTTATCAATTGATTCTTTTAATTTGTAGAGTTCATCTAAACTGTTGGCTTCTGATTCAGAAAATGCGTTTCTATTTTTTGAAAATCTTTTTCGTGTGATTTGTCTTTGTTTGCTTATAATTTTTCTTTTTATTGTTTGTCGTTTTGTTCTAATGTATCCAACTGTTTGTGTATGAGGTGTGATTACAACATCGTATTTTTTGTTATCTATTTCACAGTTGTGTAAAACGATTGTTTGTTTCTTTCTTAAATTTTTGAAAGACGTAAGGTTTAGGATGAGGGATGCAAGAAGTTGTTATTTATTTCTATTTCCTTAGACTGTTAGTCCTTACGATTTTTTGGTTAGCTTAACCTGGGTCTTTTTGTTCAGGGTTGGAGAGAAAAGTATATCGATTCCGGAGAATGATTTTTTACTTTCTCGTGGCTAGTCTAAGCTAAGGTGTTAACTTACTTAATCTTACTTAGGGGTAGTGATTGTGTTCAAGGGTTGGAGAATAGCAAAACGATCCACAAGGTTCAGGTATAATTAGAACGGAAGTAGTTCGTTAGATACTATTTTTAACTTACTAAGTCTAAGATCTATCCTGGGTCTAGTAAGAGGAGGGTTCAAGTGAAGGATGAATAACCGAAGTTCTTCACTGTTTATCTTAATTTAAATGGTTAGTTTTATTTGAAAATTTCTATTAGTCCTGGGTCTTTTGGAAGGATTGGATAGTGAATTGACGTTTGAGGTCGTTAGACACTTGCTAAGTGGGTGGGGGAGAACAAAATTGTTCTGTTGATCCAAGGATAGGCCTTGATGATCAGTTTTTAAATTTATTGAGATAGAAAATTTATTAAGATCCAAGGATAAGCCTTGATGATCTGATTTTAAAAATTAAGTGAATTTAAGTTTAAAATGATTTAAATTTATTGAATAAAAGATTGAGTTCTTTAATGATATTAGTAAGCTTATTATTGCTGTTATGTTTAGGTGATGAAGCTGGAATGCTACTAATTTTAAGTTTTATTTTTAAATAAATATTTTTCGAAAATGTTTTATATAATACTGCAGAAATAAAGAAAACAATCTGAGAACTTTTTATCAATCGTTATTGTACATTAATAGCTTTGTTTAGCGCCTGAAATTATCATGAAGGTTTACCTCAAAATTTTATGTTTGCAAATGAAAATCTAAATTCATTGCTAATAAGATTCTAAATACAAAAGTCTGTGTTGGCTTTTGCCGTACAATCATAAAACTAAATGGTAAGTTTCTAGTTTGTCGTATGTCGTCTCTTGTCCGAGGTCTTCTTCCAATTCCGGGTAGTTCTATTATCGTTCGGAATATCGGCTCTGATCTATTGAGTCGTAGAGACATTTCAATTAAATTATTATTGTATAACATTTTGAAAATGTTTTGTCTAATTTCTAATCTATTTTTGGTTAGTTCTAAGCTATTAAGGTCTTATTCGAGACTTATGGTCGCACCAGATGAGTTAGAAACGATGTGGTTAACTTATAGAGTAATTTCGGATAGGGTACACCGTCTGCTCGTCACGCTATCTTATTTTCGGCCGGATAGATTCGTGCAACTTCTTGGTCTAATACCGATCCTAGTCTTACTCTTATACTTACTAGTCTCAGGGCGTTTAACTAGTCTCTGCTAGGCTCAACAGATCTAGGGTATACTGGTTTATTGCGGCTGCTGAAGTTCTCTTGGAGAGGCAACTAATTTCTAAGTTAAATTCAAATCTCTCTGGTGCTGAAATTAAAAGTAATTTCAGCACTTACAAACAAGTGAGTTGTTAGTTACATGGATTATGATTGGTTAATATTAGATATTTTACAGTGGTAAAATATCCAATTTATCCAATTATAAAATGTAGTTTAGATCAGGTTCCACAGTGTAGATAAATAGCGCATGTTGCGTTCACGCATATAATACCAGGAAAATGAATGAAAAAGTTCCTGTTTCTCGAAAAAATTCTAAAGTAAATGATACCACTGTACCTTTAACTCAGACTTTTGCAGAGCTTTCAGACAAATAAGGATAAAGTGTTGTGTGATCTAAGAAGTTTTTACTTAGATTTCGATAAAATCTTACTACTTTTTTTTTATTATGGTTTTCCTCTTTTACCGTTGATTTCCCTCGCGAAAGTAAATTTTTAAAAGTGAGTGAAAATTCTGACAAAACTTCTACATCATACAAGGAAGAGTTCAAATTTTTGTAGAAATTTAAGAAAAAATTTTACAGCGGAAGAAAAAAAATATTGTCCGATTCTTGCTAAGTTTTTTTCTTGAGATTCTTTCATAATCTTGTGTGACACTTTTAAAATTTTTCCAAGCTTTTAAAGGACCTTAATCATGTGGAACTTTCACTAACGAAAAATAATTTATTCAGACCTCTGAAATGGCATTTTCGTCTTTTTTCCTAATAGTCAATTATAGTAGAGTATTTTTCCATCATTTTTCATTTTTTATTGAACCTGATAGCGTAATTGAAAGACAACCTAGTGTTTCCAAACAATTTTTTCAAATCTTTCTCATTTTACAAAACTTTGGGTTTTTGAAGCCATTCTTTTTGAAATATCCAACAAAAACTTGCCAAAGTCTGATGATATAAATCTTTTATTTGGGTTAATATTTATTCATGCATGCTCTTGCCGTTCATCGCACTTCCACTATTTTTGTGCTGATGAGTTTTACTAATTTAAAATAAGTCCCATTTTAAAATAGCCGGTTAAAATGAGCTAAGACAAAACTTTCAAACTTATTTTTCACCAGTTCGGTTAAATTCGTACAGAAAACGGTTCAAATGCAATTTTTCAAATTTTTATCAGCGTTTCATGGTGCAGTTGATTTTGCGAAAACTCAAACCAAAATTACACTCTTAAACGGGTTATTTCGGTCAGTTTGAAATGATGGAAGAAAACAGGTTCAACTGTTATTTTTTCTTGCATCAATTGACCCTGCATCCCTACTCAATTTTGAAGTAAGCAAGTTGACCCGTTTTAAACGTGTAGTTTTAATTTGAGTTTTCGAAAATAAACTGCACCATATAAATTATAAACCGTTGTTCTCCTGGTCAGTTTTTGTACAAAAATAACCAAACTTGAGAGTACCGAGTTTGAAAATTTAGTTTCAGTTCAATTTAGCAGGGTATTGTAAATCGGTCTTATAAAAGCGTGCTCAGCACAGAATGTTGCGAAAAATGGCGAAACTGTAAGAACAACTGAAAAACTGCCAACTGAATGTGAACTAAGAGAAAATTCATCATAAAATTTATTTTGAAAACAACTTGTAGTGTTTTTTAATAATTCAATTTTTTTAAAATAAACTTTAACGATTCAAAACGCCAGTTACTCTAATATTGATAATAGTCTATGATTTTATGAGCTCAAAAAGTGATACATGTTAACCAGATTTTTGAACAGTGTCGTACTTTTTTGCTTAAACTGAGTTGAAATGAAGTTTTTTGACATTAAATTCGAACTGATCAAGGATCTTTTAAGAAGGACTTTAATAAGGTTTGAATGGACCTAACTCGTATAGATTTTACTCAAAAGAAAAATCCACTCAAATCGATCCGAAATTGATCCAAAAAAAATCGATCCAAATTTATTAAAAAAGATTGATTTAAAAAGATTTGAAATCCGTTTCAGTTTGTGAAATCTATAATGTTACTCCATTTGGATTGATTTAAAACAAATTAAATTTGGTTTAAGTCTATCCGAAACCATTTTTTCAGCGCGGTTATACTTGCACAATTGCAGCATATGTCAACCCGATTGAAATTTCTACTGGTTTCTTCATTCAACAAAAATTATTTTGCATGATCAATTGAAATGCGTTTGCAGACTTGATTTTGAAAAATTAAAGAACAGAACTCAAATGAAAACAAAGCAAAAATTACACAAAACATTGATCGTACGTTTAGTTTTAACAGCCATTTTTTTTTGAAATTTAAGTTCATTACAATTATCTCTATCCTCCTAAAGTACTGCCGGCTTTCTGCACAAAAATTACGACTGGATTACTCATTGCTCAGTTGTCTTAAAATTTTGTTGCTCGATATGTTTTTCAGTCTTCAGATTTATGGCACGACTTGCTGTACCTGGTTTTTGCGCGCAAAATACTCGTTTGAAAAAAACATCATTAGTTTTTTTTTAAAGTCCCCCTTCCTACCTTCCTAGAAAACAAAAACCCTCAGAAAACCTCAGAAAAACTGCCTGCTAGCTTAGTTCTTTTTTTTTCATTTTGTTTTCGCTTTCCACGCAAAATCAGGTACCACAAATAATCATCAATTTCCTGGTTTCAATGTCCTGGTTTTTCGAGCGAATAAGGCGATCGATTTACGTTTGTTATTAGTGAAAATCTAAAATTTGTGCTAAAAACTTGATTTTTTTCAAAAAACTTTTTTCAATTTTTTTTTTGTTTTCCACGCAAAATCAGGTACCAAAATTATCAACGGTCGGGCTAAAGTGTTTTATCATATTGAAACTATTTCTAGTCGTGATTCGAAGGATTTTAAAAAAATTTTCCAATAGTTTTGTCTAGTGTTGAGAAAAACCGGTTTGAAGTTTTGGTTTTTCGTCTATTTTCGAGCAAGTAAATCAATCGAGTAACGGTTGTTATAATAAAAATCAGAAATTTTGGCTAACAAAATGATAATTTTATGAAAAGATTAAGTAGTTTTGGAAATTTCACTTGGCTCTTTTCTGGCAAAAAAAAATCTTTTGAAAAAAAATTAAAATTTTTGTGCAAAACTTGAAAAAAGAAAAACTAAAAAAAAATTTAAGTTCTTCGATTTTTTAATATTTTGCTTGGAAAGACTATTAGAC